ATGGTGTTTAAATAAAATTAAAAAAATTAATACATAATTAGAAAAAAAGAACAATAAAGGATATGCCTCTTAAAAAATTCAATTTCTAGAACATATAAAACTACTTTATTTACTCTGTTAAAAGAATGAGAGTTTCAGTAATTCAGAACTATATAAAAGACCTGTCTATAGATGTTATGGTCTTGATTAAAATGGAGAAGGCCCTCCCGTTGATCATCGATTTGCTCGAGCGGGCCCAGTAACATCTCCATTGGAGACTTTGTTGTTACTGTGTTTGGCATATCGAATACTCTCGGTAGCTTGCCGGGCTCTCCGAGAGGGGCAGAGGAATCGAACTCGGGTTGGCCATGTTGGCCGCTTGTAAGGCGAACGCCCTACCGCTGTGCTAAAAGTGTCAGAGAATACCAACAATAGGAAATTAAGCTGATTTATACTTAATAAGCCTCTCAAATGAACATTTTAGGTTACTGAAAATGAACTATAGAATTAAAGAAATTCTATTTCCACAGCCTTTCATAAAGTTGCCCGGGTTTAAAAAAAAATTTATTAGAGGTCCAGGGATAACACGGTGGCTTAAAAATGCTTACCCCATAAGGTCATAGGTTCATTTCCCAGTATTGCCACATGCACGAAGGGTCATCCCTGCAGCTCTGCCATCTGTGATTCTCTAGTGCTGCAAGAAACTTATACACTGTGGCTAAGTGTGTATCAGGGCCAAGTGTATAATTAATGTAGCCTGATGTGTGAGTCCCTGTAAAGCATCACAGCTAAAATGTACAAGCACCACAGCCAGAAGTGCATGCAACACCTGTTTATTGTAACAATGAAGGAAAGGAAGTAAATAATTTTAAAGTATTCATTTACACTAAATAATGATAATACAGCACTGTATACATGGCCAACACTCAATAACCAGCACTCCATATGGTCCCCGCCAAACTGCATCAGAAAGTGATCCCTGCATGCAGAGTCAGGAATAAGCACAACTGGATATGAACCATAAATAAAACAAAAGTTCAAATATACCCAGCTGCTACTTTTGCAAAGGGGGTTCCCATTCTTATATTTTCATGATCTTCTGAAATTCAGTGTCCACACAATGATACCTTCAATCAATAGTATTAACACAACAAAGACATAGCCACAAGCCAAAACACTCAGAATCCAAATGAAGTAGCATGGCCAGTGTGTGATTTCTCTCGGCATGTCCAGCACTGCCTGGCCATCACAGTCAAGTAAGGCAGTGTAAAAGATAGATAGGCTAGCAAAACACTGTGTTGTGTGTATATCAGACGGTGGGGCGGGGAGGGGGAGGGTAGTGCATGACTATAGTCAAAAACTTGAGCCAATATATAGGAAAAACAATTGGGCAGAAAGACCTAAGTCTCCTGGAAGAATTTCTGTAAAAGAATTACTATACAAGAAGACAAGGCTGAGGATAATGAAAGAGGAGTTTAAATGAAAACGTTAGGTTTGTAGGGAACAGAGGCCCACACAGTTTTCTAAAATTCCATTCAGTTTGCCTAGCCCTACTGCTTTGTTGTTCACTGAGGGGGGCTGGAAGGAGGGGGGAAGCTATTTACAAAAGGACAGTCAACTGCCGCACCAAATTAATTCAAGTCAACTAATATTCTGAGTGCACACTTTCAATTTCATTATAGCATATCTCTTGGGAACTCAGGAACATCACAAATTAAAATATGGTACATTATTATATAACAGGAAAAAACCAACAACTCACCACTAGTAAAGAGGACACAATGACTAAGATTAAAACTGAAAGACTTTCTGTTTATTTTCAAGTAAATCAGGCATCCCAAAGTTCCCTTTCTTTCCTATGTGCAAAGCACCTTGCATAAAACAGTGGAAAAGAGCTGGATTTTAAATGTTCTACAACCACATGAAATCACCTTTTAGAAATTTGATCATCGCTTAATATATTATTTCAGTGTCCTATTGAGATATTTCTAATGGCTCTCACCATTTCACAGTTTAACAAATAAATTTTATCCTTCTGAGTGCAATTTCCACCAAAATCTTTCTTCTTTCCCCATAGAAATCAGGGAATGAATGATTGGTATTTTTATGTGCTTTAGCAATTCTTTTGTAGATTGGCACCTGGTGTGCTGGACAAAGCTGAGAGGTCTTCTACTTACTGGTTATCTTTTCATTTGTTTCTAACATGTACTCTTTACAGGGTGGCCTTAACACATGCAATGCAAGTGCAGGTGCTCTACCACTGAACACAACCTCATATCCCCACCTCCTGACACAAGGAGCCAATGTCTGTTTACTCTCAATGCCTCAGTTTTGACTTTTTCAATGTTTTTATAACTTCACAGAGGAAAAACTGTGCCCAGATCAGAATCAGAGCCTAAACATGAAATACATTAGACCTGTGACTGACCCATCTCCTCAGCCTTTATATCATATCTTAAAAATTGGTCTTCCCGGGGCTGGAGTGATAGCACAGCGGGTAGGGCATTTGCCTTGCACGTGGCCAACCCAGGTTCAATTCCCAGCATCCCATATGGTCCCTTGAGCACCGCTAGGAGTAATTCCTGAGTGCATGAGCCAGGAGTAACCCCTGTGCATCGCCAGGTATGACCCAAAAAGAAAAAAAAAATTGATCTTCCCAAGTGAAAAATGAAAGAATGAACCCCTTATAAGTTGTTCGGGGGAATAAAAGATCTCTAGTTCCCATTAATTCGTAGGTTAAAAGTACAAAATAAGATTTTGTACTTACCCCTAGGAAACAAGATGTATTCAAGTTTAGTAATACCCAGGGCTTGAGAGGTAACACAGGACTTAAAGTACTTGCCTTGCATCCTGCTGGCCCAAGTTCAAATCTCTGGCATTAGATAAAGTCGCCCAAGCACAGCTAGAGGCCATTCCTGAGCACAGAGTCAGGAATAGGCCCTGTGCCCCACCAGATGTGCAAAAAAAAAATATTTTGTTACTACCTGTTGAGTAGGTACACGAATATTTGACAACTTATTCTGAAAGTTAGAAACAGGAAGATGACTAAACAAGATTTGTCACAGATGCAAAGGAAGCAGGTTGAGAAGGAAAGCTAATCAAACTCTGTTAAGGCAGCATTAAATCAAGCTTGAAAAGTGTTCACTGAATTTTATGTGAGTGGAGAACACAGGCAAAAATCAGACTGTCCCACTATGAGGAGTAAAAGAGAAACAGGCGAGGAGGAAGAGGCAAATGCAAATTACTTTTAAAAGCCTAACTCTGAGGGAAAAAGAGAACACTAGCTAGAGTAACAAAAGTTGGAAAAGTTTTCAGACCATTTGTTTGAGATTCCAAAATTGTTTCCTTTGTGTGTCTGTTTTTTCCCTACCATGTTTCTTTATATCTCACATATGAGAGAGACCATGTTATATCTATCATTCTCCCTCTAACTTCATTCATCATGACTGACTATGCTACCAACTGCCAGATCCATCTAAGTAGCTGTAAATTGCATGACTTCATCTTTTCATACAGCCCAGTAATATTCCATTGTGAATATGTACCATAGTTTCTTTACCTATTCATCTCTTCTTGGTCACTTGGACTGTTTCCAGATTTTTTGGTTAATGTGAATGGTGCTGCAATGAACAGAGGATTGTGAATAGTGCTGCAAAGAACAAAGGAAACAGAACCTGAGAACTGGTTTTCAGTAGAAAGCTCACCATAGGGGAGAGTGTGGGTGGGGTTGGGATGGGGGTGGGAACACAGGGAAGATGGTAGAAGGAAGTGAATACTCTGGTGGTGGGTGTAGTGCTAGATTTTTTATGGATAAGATAATACAAATAACAGTTTTGTAAACCACATTGCTTAAAAACATTTTTTTTAATACCAGAAAGGTAAACAAATGTACAAAACAATCTTCACAGACGACAGCTGGGTCTAAAACAGCCTACCACATCTCTGCTTAACTCTTATACAAGTACTTCAAAATCCATAAGTTCAAACCTTAATTCATACTCTTTGGCTTTATTCCTTAACTAAGTAACAGGAGCATCTATGGAGAACCCAAGCAATGACCCAAGTCTTCCTGACTCAGCCCTTCCCTGGCACATCAAAATACTTTGTCTTCTAATGCTAGTCTGTTTTTATCTCCCTACCTTGGTTCTTGCTTCAATCTAACTAGAATTGCTCCTAATCCTAAGAGATAAATTATCTATTTACTTTTCAATACTAATTGTGATTACGGTGGGGTGGGAGAGAGAAAGGGAGATGGGAGTAAGAGGGAAACAAGAGAGGGGACTCGGAATACTTCTTTCATAAAAATTTCTGGGAAAATGTTTCCCCAAAATGTTAGCACCTTTAACCATTTCTTTCCTTCACTCTCCTGGGTCCCTAATTCCTAGAGAATCATACAGACAATTTATTTCTTCAACTACAGAAACAAACAACTACCACCATAAATTAGTATTTTATTTTCAATTTGGGGGACATTCTGTCAATGCTCAGAATTTACTCCTGACTCTGTGCTCGGAGATCACTCCTGGTAGGCTAAGGGTGCCAGGAATTGAACCTATGTCAGCTATGTGCAAGGCAAGCATCCTACCCACCATACTAACGCTCTACTCTGCTCCCCAAATTAGTATTTGAAACCAACATAATAACAAAATTTCTGTTAAAAGACTTTTTTTTATAAGATTAGCAAATTTACAATAACTATGCTATGCTACACCTTCCTTATACTGTTCTCTGCACTGAAAAACCAACATAAATAAAACAGCATACTAAAACAATGTCTTCCTATTGAAGCCTAGGACACTTCAATCTTTTCATACAAATACTTCTGTTTATTCAGTGATAAAATAGGAGCAATGTTTGTGAATTGTTAGTCTTTGTATATGTAGTATGTACTATAGCTCCTATAATAAAATAAGCATTCAATAAATGTTTAAGTCCAATCAAAAAAATCAATATAAAAGAAAGTTAAAGGGCTAAGTAGGGGGGATACAAAGGGAAAAAAAATTTGAAAAATTGCCACCTACTTGTAATTGAAGCTGAAGATGGATTAGTGATCTCTAAGCCAAAAGGATTCTTGACTTGTCTCATTTGCTTTTTGAAAACTCTTGTGTTGAACTGTGTTTCTTCCGAATTTCTCAGAATTACTGGAACATCCCAACCAAACCTGAAGGCAAAAATAAAATAAAATATAATTTTAACAGATGGAACAAACTTATGTCATATGTAAAATACATTGTTATGCCTCATTAGTAAATCATAGTTATTCAATTTACATTATCTTGAAAAATTAATCAAGTTAAAAAAAAAGTTAGAGGTCCCATTGAATTGCAATTATTTTTTAACTGGTTAAATCAATATACTCTTGGGGCCAAAGCGATAGTAAAGTGGGGAGGGCATTTGCCTTGCATGTGGCCAACCCGGGTTCGATCCCCAGCATCCCATCTCCCCAGCACCTCCAGGAATAACTTCTGAGTGCAGAGCCAGGAGTAACCCCTGAGCATCACTGGGTGTGACCCAAAAAGCAAAAATAAATAAATAAATATACTTTTGCTACTAATATTACTGTTAATAATAAAACTTTATTGATTATAGATATATTACATGCCCATGACAAAAGAATGATTGGATTATTAAATGTTTCTAAGTGATGAGCAATTACATATTTAACATACAAACTAATATATATATATATATATATATATATATATATATGCCTCTCAGAGAGCTCGGCAAGCTACCGAGAGTATCCCCACATGGGCAGAGCCTGCAAGGTCTCCGTGGCATATTCAATATGCCAAAACCAGTAACTATAACAGGTCTTATTCCCTGACCCTGAAAGAGCCTCCAATCATTGGGAAAGATGAGTAAGGAGAGGCTGCTGAAATCTCAGGGCTGGGACAAATAGAGACGTTACTGGCGTCCACTCGAGTAAATCGATAAACAACAGGATGACAGTGATACAGTGATGAAATAACATTTAAACACAAAATTTTTCAGTTAATTAACACATTTTCTGCTTTCCAGTGGAATTCTTAGATGAAAAAGCATCTAAGTTTGGGGCTGGAGCGATAGTACAGTGGGTAGGGCATTTGCCTTGCAGGTGGTCGACCCGGGTTTGATTCCCAGCATCCCATATGGTCCCCCTGAGCACCACCAGGAGTAATTCCTGAGTGCATAAGCCAGGAGTAACTCCTGTGCATCGACGGGTGTGGCAAAAAAAAGCCAAAAGGAAAAAAAAAGCATCTACGTTTAACTTGATTTAAATAAAATAAGACAAATGAATGTGCATTAGTTAATGTGGGGGCTTTTACATGGCACAGTTAAATTCATACTTGGATACATCCTCTTCTCTTTAAACGCACAGCAGTAGAATAGTAATAATAAAAGGAAAATCAAAGAGACCCACAGAAAAGAGTAAATTGTTGTATTTAGACAAAGGAACAGTAGTACTCGGCAACGGAAAAGGAGAAACTATAATTCCATCTATAAATCTCCAAATCTCTGTACAAAGGAAGTCTTTCAGTGCAGAGAACATGCTAATATATGCTTCTGTGATGGGAAAGTGAAGAGAAGGAAAAACTAATTTATAGAAAAAAAATTCAGATGTTTGCTTCTGGGGGTATAGGAGTATGGAGTGACGTTAGAGACAAAGAAAATCTGGGGACAATATTCTATATTTAGTAGAAGTTTGAATTGTATTGATGATGTGCCTGACAACACTTAAAATTTGATAGTAGGAGAGACAGTAGAGAGGTTATGGTGTCTGCTTTGCAAGATGATTGGGGTCCATCCTCCGGCACCACATACGGCCCTGCAAACCCCTCCAGAACTGGTCCTAGAGCAGAGAGTCAGGAATAAGCCCTGAACACCACTGAGTTTGCTCACCCCAAAATAAAATACAAAAAAAAAAAAGTTTTATTGTTTTGGGCCACACCTGGCAGTGCTCAAGCCAGAGGTACATCTGGAGGGTGCTTGGAGCAGAGCAGACCATGTGCATCATAAGGATTCGAACCGCTGTATAATGGTTGAAACCACATACAAGGCAAGAGCCTTAGCCTCTGTACTATTGCTTGAGGCTTAAAATTTAATTTTAAGTGAAAAAATCTCAGAACATATGCATAAAGCTAATATCAAGAGAAGGCCAATAAAATGAACAAATAAAACAAAAATTTATTCAGGTGACTTTAGTTTTATAGAACTACTACCCAAGGTCCTCCTTTTTACAAAGCTGAAAAATTAAGCCTCTAACCCATCAAATTATTAACAAGTAAGTTCACTGTGTCCCAAAATGAAGTTCAAAAACATTTAGGACCAAATCAAGCAAAATTCTACAAAGTTTGGCATCCAAGTAACAAACTCAAAGAAACAAGAAACCATAACCCACAATGAGGAGAAAGAGTAACCAATAGAAATAAGTCCAGCTATGACACAGACACTCCAATTAGTAGACAAGGGCATCAGAATATCTTCAGTTAGGGAAGAGAAGATGGTGGTGCCACAGCCAGCAGGTGTGAGAGCTGGCAGAGTGGCAGCAACTCTCAGCGCTCTCAACAGCAGGGCCGATGGGCTCATAAAATTTCTGCACGGATGATGTAAGTGCCCTTTAAATATTTTTCTCTCAAAAGAGTGGCTTTAAGTGGAAGCAAACTGGCGCCTGTGGAGCACCAGCTGGAGTAGGGCTCATGAAGACGACAGCTATGGGCAGCAGTCGGCGGTGGCGACAATTTAGCATGAACGAACAGGGCTCTTTGAGCCAAGCTGGCACTACCCTGAAGCGCAGGACCCAGAGTTGACGGGCCACCCTGGTTCCCACCATGGGAGGCCGGCTCAGGCAACTCATGGCTGGCAGGGCATCCCCGCCACTATTTCTTCCCCGGACCAGTCTGTACCACCAGTGCCACCCACAGCATATTAAGGAGGAAAAGCTCCCTGAGAGCCAATTGTCCAGAGAACGAGGGTGAGGCTGTGTGCCCCCTGGGCAGGTTCTGCTGGACTGGTGGCTACAGCCCACCCAGAGCGTGTAAGCCGTGAACGTAGCAGCCCTGGCCTCGATCCTGGGGGACAGGGGGCAAGGGCATCAGCAACCTGATGATGCCCTCAGTCTTCTTGACAGCCCCCAAATCGCTGCTATGCCTCTGGCCAAATTCCATCAACTCAAGATCAAGTTTTCCAAGGAATTGAAAGGCCCAAAGTTAGGTATGTGGGATTCACGCCCACCAAGCACCAAGCTCATTTATCTGCCTTGCTCCAGAGACCCAGCCAGTCATTCCTCTGATCATCATGATCAAGTGCTCTCACAACTTCCAAGTACTTTTCAGACATTAAGTTAAGAAGGAGGAGTGATGAACACAAGATAGAACCTTCCTAAGACAACCACAGAGAACTCTTGCCTCTTCCTCCTTCTCCTTTCAACTTGGAGTAAAAGAAAGAAAGAAAGAAAGAAAGAAAGAAAGAAAGAAAGAAAGAAAGAAAGAAAGAAAGAAAGAAAGAAAGAAAACAGGAAACAGAAAAACTTTTGGGCCAGAGTAACAGTACAGCTGGTAGGGAGTTTGCCTTGCACACGGCCAAACTGGATTCAGTCTCCAGCATCTCAGATGGTACCTTGAGTGCAAGGCAAGTGCCTTGACCCCTATGTTGTCTCTGTGTTCTTCATCATTTCAATTATTCCTTCCTCTCCCATCCTTTGGATGTGTGTGTACGTGTGTGTGTGTGTGTGTGTGTGTGTGAAAGCCTGTGTGTGTGTGTGTGTGTGTGTGTGAAAGCCCTTTTCAAATCCTTATTTCATCTTCCCATTGAATTCCTTGTTTACTTACAGAAAATTTTTGTATGTTCTGAATCTAAGTGTTTTGTTCAGCTATGTCTTCATACCTCCTACCACTTGCCTTTCCATGCTCATAATGGTATATTTTGACAAACAGAATGTGTAACACAAAGTCATTCACTTGACTGACGTTAATCAGGTCACTTTATGAGGATAATGCTTTGCTCTTTGTCCCCTCCCCCATTATTCCTTATCTAAATTATATCCTAACACTACATTTCTGAATTATAATCACAGAAATTTTTTTAGTCTGTCCTCTTAAAGGAGTGAGGCAAGCATGGCCAGAGCAGCCAGTACTTGGTCAAGAGTCCTTTTCCGACTTTGCCAATCCAAGTACCGGATATTCTCATCATTTCATGGGGTGAAAGGGAGGGGAGTAGAATTCATTATGTAACAAAGTGAAAAGAGTGGCTTGACATTATGGTCTAATCATGCCCCCTGTCCTAAACTTTATTTTAATGTTATTTAAGATCACGTGCACAGTCTTGGGAGCAGCTGACACAATGAAAATTTATGTTGAGTTCAAGACTAATCGTAATGGGAAATTAATGGGAACCACATTACCTCTTGCAACCTGAGTAAATTTATAACTGGACAAATATATCTATAGCGTTTTATTTAGCAGATAATGCAATATACAGAGATGATTTGGAGTAAGGTTAAACACTGGAGACTGGTTGAACAGCAATCCAGCAAGCCAACAAAGGGGTTACGTGGAATACCAATAAGTAGACCAAGTGATGTATCTTTGACCTCCACTCTTATACTCAACATTTCTTAAAGTTTCCATAAAAATGTGGATGAAGAAATTGATGACTGGGTTGGGGATGTAGCTCAAAGGTAGAGCCTTTGCCTTGCACACTGGACGCTAAAAGCTCAATCTAGCACATATATATCCAAAATACTGGTGTTTTTGCATCAGATCATGGCTATTATTCCTTCTAGTGATGTTAGAAATAAAATAAAACAGTGAAACAGAAAGCTGAATTTCATCCTTATCTTTGCCAAATCAGAATCATTTTGGCAATTAATACAGTATGCCAACTAAGTATGTTCCTTAACATTTGTTTCTCTATATTTTCCATTCTCTTTCCTTTGCTATTTCAATTTTATACAAAGTCTTCTGCATTTTCGTGTTTTCCCATTAATTACTGTTATTGTTTATAATGCTTAAAAATTTCGGCCTCACAATAACCTATAGATTCCCAATTCTAAGGTGTTTTTCATATTGCCTATGCCCTGCACATACTTTCTCAGCTTCTTTTTTTTCTTTTTTTTTGGGGTCACACCCGGCAATGCACAGGGGTTACTCCTGGCTTTGCATTCAGGAATTACGCCCGGCA